AATCCATGTGATGGAGAATTTGGATAAATCCCAGGTAAATTCTCCTAAAATCTGATTGATCCCCAGGGCTGCAAAATATCCTTCCAGCTCCCTGCTTGGTGCCTGGGTGTCTCCCAGCTGGCATTCCTAGGACCCCCTCCCCTTGCTGATCTTCCTGTGTGCCACCTGTGCCCCAGGGATGGGTTTGGTACCACTCCCCTTGGACTCTTAATGTCACCTCATGACTTCCAGCAGTAACTGCTGCACAGGGATGCAGGAACGTGTCCCACTCAGCTGCTGCCCTCCCCATCCACCTTTCAAACACCTCCAGAGCCCCCAGGGATGTTGGACCATCGCCTCCATCCAGCCCAAAGGTTCAAACATCTCCCACACCCCCTCTGCTCCCATGATACACAACACATTAAACCACTTTCTATTGTCCATCAGATTTTTCTGAGCCTCTGCCTCCCCCGTTCTGGCTTTTTTCCACCTCCAGAAGGCCTCCTATTCATTTGCCTCTACAAATACAAAGTCCAGGCTGGAAGGCTGGATTTCTCCCATGGAACTGGGGCTCAAAGAAAACCCAAATGTCACGCAACACTCAATCACCATCCCTGGGGTTGGTGACTGGGGTGTCAGAGGAAACACCCAGTGTCATTTATCCACTGTTAGTCAGCAAGAAGAAACACCAAAAATCCCAAATAATTCATCTGGATGGATCTGACATTCATCTGCAGAGCTGGCCAGATAGTGGAAAACATCTATTTGGGAATGATTTACTGGGTAGCAGTGGGAGGGGGGAAAAAAAAAAATCCCCAAATCACACCATCAATTATTTCACAGCTTCTATTCAGGCCTTTTTGGGGCAGTCACTTGATGGGAAGTGCAGCTGTGGGAATGCCCCCCGTGCTGGCACCCAGCACCCTGCAGGTCTCTCAGGTCAGGAAGGAGGGGAGGAAAACTGCCCCTGGCTCCCTGTCCTGCGTGATTCCGAAGTGGCAGCTCCACAGCCGGCACCACCAAGTGCTGCAGCACCAACACCCCCCGCCCCCAACCCCACCCCAGCCCTGGCACCGACACATCCCGTTATCTCTCCAGTCCCGGCTCTCCCGTCCCCAACGGTCCGGGGAAACTGGCTCCGGGCCAGGTTTTCCCTCTATCAGGGCGAGGCAAAGCTCATCCGTCAGGCTTTGTTAGGGAACCCGAGGGGCATCCCTGAGATGTGCTGGACCGCGCCCACCCCTGCTGGATGTGCGCTGGAGTTTGCTCCGGGCTGTCCAGTGCTGCTCAAGGCACATGAGGGTGGGGAAGGACCGGGATGATTTTCCCGCTCTGAAACCCCCCAAAAAACCAGGATGGGCCAGCCAATCCCCTCTGGATGGTACTGGGATGCTCCACGCTGGCCTGCACCACCAACCCTGGCGCCAGGGTCCTGTCCCCACCCCACAGCCCCTAAAAACACTCTGAGGTGGGCTTATTCTTCATCCCCATGACCGGGGATACAACAGCAGCAGCTCAGAGCGGGGCAATGGGGAAACCCAGATGTGGAGAGCAGTTGGAACGCACTTGTGGACCAATTATCCCCCAAAACCTCACACCTCCCCTTCGTGTGGCATCCTGAGAAGGAGCCACACGGCCCTGGGCTCCCCAGGGAGGGTGTCCACTGCCCCCAAGCCCGGCCAGAAGGAAGGAGAGTCTATCAGCAGAAACACCACCACTTCATTCCCATTGTCAGCTCCCAGAAGCATCCAAACCCTCAGGAATCAGGGACTCCAAGCAAGCCACGCTGGTGCAGGGAGTTCTCCAAGGCTGCATAGCCCCAAAGGCCAAACAAGTGTAGCAGCAGCCCCATAAATCACACCTGTCCTATAAATCACACCCTCCCGATAAATCCCACCCCTGCTGCGGAAAACTGAGGAGGAAGAGGAGGAGGAGGAGGGAGAGGAGGGCACTGAGCATGTTTGGCTGGCTTTGGCTGCCTTTGCTCATGTGCTGGCGGAGAACAAAAAGCACTGAAGGAGTGTTTTTATCGATTCCAACGTCAGAGCTCTGCGAGAGCTGGGTGATAAAGGGGCACCTGAGCAAAGCTCTGACGCCACAGGGACACCATGGGGTGTTTGGGGCCACAGCCCTGCTGGAGAAGGACACTTTCACGCCGTGTGAGCCCCCCAGATTTCCCCCAGACCCCAAGTCACACGTTCAGGGGCAGCGACTCAGCATCGTCCCCTACAGCCACTTCTCTTGGGTGTCCATGGCACTCCCCAGACCGCTCTTGTACCTTGTTTTTAACAAAAACAAGTATATCTGCCCATGCAAAAGGGGTGGAACTAGATGGCTTTAAGGTCCTTTCCAACCCAAACCATTCTAGGATTCTGGGACTTTGTACCCTGGCTCCTCTTGCTGGGTTTGGGGGGTGTGTGAGCCCAGCCTCCCTGGGCACAGATTATCCACATTCCCTGATCCTATCCCGGTACAAATGGCTGCAGCCAAGGAAACTACAACAATTTTCTCCCTATTTTACAGATGGAGAAGCTGAGGCCGGGCACACAGCAGTGACTGGGACCACTGAGGATGCAGCTCCCTGCTGGAGCCAGGATCACCACGCACGGGATGGCTGGCGCGGTTTGCTTGGTGGAAAAGCACAACAGCCCCTGTGTGCAGGACTGGTTAAAAAATAACCCCCAAATGGCTTCCTTCTGCAGGGAAATTAACACCGGGAGGCTGCAGGGAAGCAGGAGGGTTAGTGCCCTAATGGACACAGGGCTCAGATTTCCCGGTCACACCCATGCCCCTCCGTGCGGATCGCCTCGGACTCCGCGCTGGGCTGAAGCGTTCCGGGCCGAATAGAGGATTTGGGGAACATCAATCAGAAAATCAGCTTCCGATATTTCAGTATTCAGGGGGTTGATACCTTTCGTTTGCCTCTCCGACACCCGAGTTGGCCCGCGTAGCCGCAGCCCCCCGAGCAGGTTCGGGAGCCCGTTGTGCCGGGGGAAGCCGGAGACGGATGATGCCCAGACAGCTGGATGGGTTTGTGCTTTTTCAGCCTCAGTCCTCACCGGAAAGGTCGGATGCAGGCGGGGTGCTAATGCAGTTAGTGCTGGAAAAAACAGAGACAGAGCAGGTCGGGGTGGTTTAATAAGGCCCGTGTTATTGAATCAGCCTGGTGGGATGAATTTTGTCTTCCCGAGCGGAGCTGGGGGAGCCACTGGCAGCTGCTTTAGGAAGGAGAGGTGGGCTCTCAGCCGGCCAGGAATGGGCAACCATGTTGGGAATGCCCAAAATCCCACTGAAGCATGAAACTGAGGTGATTTGTGAGTCCCTGGAAGACACACAGGGACTGCAGCTGAATGTGCTGTGGTGCTCCGACAGTTTCTGGTGCAGCCCCACATGCCCTGCAAAACAGGGACACTGGGGACCCCCACTACCAGTTTATCAGCAGATCCTGGTGAGACAGGAGGGGGACAGATGAGGAAAGGCTGAAAGAATTCAGGCTCTTTATCCTAGAGAAAGAAAGAATGATGATAAACCCTCTTTTACCTACCTGAAGATGTTATCTAGAGAGGGAGGGAGGGAAGAGGGAGAAAATGTGCTGTTCCCCCTTCCACAAGGGATGGGCCAAAACCAATTGACAAATCACTCAGAAAATAACTCAGATTATCACTTTGGGGAGACTGTTTAGATATAAGGGAGTGAAAGAGGGAGGAGAATCACCACCATCAGAGGGTTTTAAAGCTGAGCCAGGAAACAGGCATCCAGGGTGGTCTGTGTGCCCACGCTGTGCCAGCAGGGCTCCCACACCTTCTCTGGCCACTGAAGGCTTTGGGCAGCTCATTGTTTAAACTGAATGATGCTGGAGCTACTGCCTGATCTACAGAGCAACAGCTTCATTCCAGCTTCATGTGGCACCCCTGCCCGTGATGAGAAGGTTGGAAACAAGATGATCTTCCAAACCATTCTGTTGTTCCGTGTTCTCTCCAAAGGTGGGTCTGAGCTTACTGCCCTGCATGGACTTGCCACAGTCTCCATGTGCAGGTAAATGTCCTCCAGCACTGAGGATGCCCCAAACCCCACCACATGTTGGAATGATGCTCATCCACTTGTGTCCTCCAAGCTGTGCGTGGCCGAGACCTCAGGATGGGGAGAAAATCACTGCCAGACCAACAAAAATACCAGAGACAATCCCCAGCTGGGAGCAGAGAGGTGACCAGAAGACCAGGACCTTTCATCCCTGCTGCAGTTAGTGCCATAGGAAGCTGGTCTGGAATTGTTCCTGAGGTGCAGCAGGATGATGTTGGTGGAATCAGCAATGATCAGGAACATCTTGGACCTGCTGCTCCCTGGGGAACAGAGAGGCCAAGTGTGAGTGGTGGGTTTTCATCTCTGGTGCTGCAGGCACAGCACAGACCCTCGGCGTGAAGAGTCAAACCCAGTCACCAGGGCAAGAAACTACAGGAACCAGCTGGGGCTTGGAAAAGGGGGGAGGGAAAAAACCCCACAACCCCAGCCAGAAAAGAAAACAACCTGCTGCCTCGAGTGCTGCCTGTCAGTGACGCTTGTTTGAACGTGGATGAGTATCAGAGCGATGTGGGGCTGGATGTGTGCACGGGAGGACGGTAGACGGAGGTGGCTGCCAGTATTTTCTGGCACTGTTGGGGTGGAAATATCCTTCAACTCCTTAGATAGCAAGCCGGAGATTACGGAGCGAAGGAATGTGCTGCGAGACGCCGCCGCGCACGGCCGTGGGAGGGTGGGAGGAGAAGCCAAGGCCCATGGCAGCATGATAGGAAACATCCTGGAGACGCACAGGGAAGAGGAGAAAATCAGGTCAACGCTCTGAAGTGGCTTAGCAGGCCCTGGGGAAGCTCTCGGGAAGGAGATGGGAAGGGGGGAGGTGTATGGGGTGAGAGGAGGTCACGGTGGCAGAGACGTCGTGGAATTGAAGCATCACAGGGTGGTTTGGTTTGGAAGTGACATTTAAAGCTCATCTCATTCTACCTCCCTGCCATGGGCAGGGACACCTTCCACTAGCCCAGGTTGCTCCAAGCCCCGTCCAACCTGGCCTTGGACACTTCCAGGGATCCAGGGGCAGCCACAGCTTCTCTGGGCAACCTGTGCCAGGGCCTGCCCACCCTCACAGTCAGGAATTTCTTCCCAATATCCCATCCAGCCCTGCCCTCTGGCAGTGGGAAACCAGCACCCCTTTTCTATCATGATGGGGGTGGTTGGTTGTTCCCCATGATGGATGCCATGGTTTCAGCTGGGGCTGCTGCTCTGTGGGCACTGCGGACACAGGGAGAGCCCTGGGAACCAGGAACCAAAGCAACCAGCGGGAGGTTCAGTTCTGCCTTCTCAGGGGTAGGTGGGGGGCACTGGGCAGGTTTGGGATCCCAAACCAGGCCTCTGCTGCTCTCCCATCTTGGCCTGTCAAGTGATGAACAGGGTCAGGGCATTTATCACCTTGTTTGGCTCCTCAAAGCTCTCCACACCAAGCACCAATGGCTTTTGGCACCTTCTCCACCTTCTCCATCCAACAGCCAAAATCCTGACACATCCACTTTTCTTTTTTTCCTTTGTTTTGTTTCTAAAAGGCAAAATCCATGAGGTTGTGCTGCCAGGGTATTTTTTTCCAAGCCTCCAGTCCCTTTTCCTTCCCTGCAGGGCTGTGGAGTGGCCAGGCTTTGCTTCCAGCTCTCCACTGTGTTTTGGGCACTGGAGATGCTGCCAGCTGAGCAAGGATGGGTTATTCCAACCTCTATCCCTTGCAGGGATAAACCTCTGCCTCCTTTTCCTCCATCTCCCACTGGATTTGATGACACTGGGTGATGACAGGAAAGAACAGCGATAACAGCACTGGAAAGAACAAGAAAAAAAATCCACAGTAAAAGCCCCAAACTTCCATCAAATCACACAGAAATTTGGCACCATTTTGCAGAAGTCACTCCTGGATCTCCAAGGAGGGGTTACCATGTGGAGGGCTGGGTGTAAATGACCTGTCCCTCCTGGAAGGAGGGAAAGACGGTGGAAAGAAGGGACCTGCTGTGCAACAGAACAAACCCAAGCCCTGGGAGCAGCACTGGGATCTCAGGTGGCTTTGGCAGGTGGCACCACAACTGCCACCTTCTGTCCCCAGACAGCCTGTGGTCACAGCAAGTGAATTCCCAGGTGGCACAGGGAAGAGCAGCTCCCATGCTCTGAGAAGGGGCAGGGGAGGACGAGAATCCCATTTTCTGTTCCTTGGGAGAGGTGCCAGGATCAGGCAGGGACACCCTGCGGTGTCCTTACACGTCCTTCTGCCGTCACCCCAACACCCAGGGATGCGCTGCTGGAGAACCACTCAGCTGGAATAGCTTTCTCTGGAAAATTCCCAGCGTGGAGAAGCCCCAGAGTTAACTTGCCAGGCAAGGCTGGAGGAAATGAGAAGCGCTACAAAGGCTGGCACGTTCCTGCTCTCCTGCATCCCACAAGATCAAACAGATGGGGGTTGTCCTGTAAGGAAAAGCAATTTAAGAGGGGGAAAAAAAAAAAAAAAAAAAAAAAAGGAGATGTTCTTTGCAGGATAGCTGCTCCAGAGACCACGGGTGACATTTCCAGCAGGGCAAGGAATGCTACACAGTCATATCCCGGCTAATACGAGGAAGATTCGGGCTCATTTCCAAGCACTTTGGCTTCGGGCCAGTCACTTAACTCTCAGCATCTCAGTTCCTGCAGCTGGAAAAGGCCAAGCTGTTCTTCCCAGCCTCTGGCATCTCCCAGGCTGTGGGGACTTTGGGAAGTGAGGATGGGATGCTCATCTACAAGCGTGATGGACCCTGGTGTTCAGACAGCCGCTCCCGAGCTCGCAGGTGCAAGGTCAGGTTCAGGAAGCACCACTGGAATGATTTACAGCCTGCTTAGGAAATCTGGCATCAGTGGTGAAGGTCTGGGGGTCAACAGAAGGTGGCCTGAAGTCAAAGCCTTAGAAGAAATCCAGCAGGGACATGCCTGTCTGTCTGTCTGTCTCTCCAAGATCCTTTCCAGGCAGCATCTCCTGTCCTCAGCTTATAGTATTTCTTAAAATAAACAGATCAAAGGCCAAGTTCACCTAATCACACAGTCACAGAATATCCTGAGCTGGAAGGGACCCACAAGGATCACTGAGTCCAACTCCCGGCCCTGCATAGGATCCAGCAGGGAGATCTCACCAGAATTCCCAGGGGCATTTCCTAGACATCCCAGGCACAACAATCCACACGGGAAGGGCATTGGAGCAGGACTGCCCAGCTTCTGGAAAAATGTTTCAGAGTCCAGGAGAGTTCCCAAAGGACACCAAGCACCCAAAAAACCAGTTAAGCATCTTGCTGCTGCTCCTCCTTTCCAGGACACCCATCCTCTCCTCCCAGGACCTGGGATGTTTTAGAGCCCGTGGAGGCGACTCCCAGAGCTGCCTGCAAACTAGAAAACCTTCTGTCAGGAAGAAGTCACAAGGCATCCTAACCAGAAACATATTTGGGGAGTGAGTCAGTGGAGGGGGAAGCAAAAAAGAAAGTTGCACCCTTTAGCTTGATGAAAAAAGCATATGGCAACAGCCAGTATTGTGAACAACATTCCCTGCTCCAGCAGCCGAGCCAGGGAGAAAAATCATGACTCAACCGCTGCGTTTCATCCAAATCTAAAGAAAAATCTCCTTCAGGAGGGGTATCTGCAGGGAGAGTCAGCAAGAACTGATTTGGCTGGTTAATTAACTAAATTGTTTGGAGAGGGGGTGACTTTGCAGCGGGTTTAAAATCCCTGATTCAAAACTCGGCTTTGGTGCGTGTTTGAAGCGTCCCAAGTGAGGGCTGCAAATGCATCTGGCATGTAAAATATATTTATCTGTGCTCAGATACACACACAGCTTCTCCTGATAGCACAGGATAAACTCAGGAGGAGCCTGATGCTCACATAGGAACAGCTTGCAGCCAGAGCTCCCGCTTCCCCCAAAAGGCTGGGAATACTTCCCCATAAATCATAAACCCAGGGAGGCCAAGAATGCCATCAGGGTTATGAAACAGGACTAGAAACTGGCAAAACATTTGCTGCAAAATCCATAGGACTCTGGCTTTCCTCTGGGGACGCATTGCAGAGTGCAGGAATGACATTCCCAGGCACTGACACTTGCTGAGGCTGCTCAAGAGTCAAAATTCCCTGCAGGAAAAGAGTCTGAAGCAGGGAATCCTCAACATTCTTTTCCCCCCTCCAAGACTGTGGTTGCAGATGTCAAAAGTTGTAACACTCAGGCAGCCCCAGGACTCGGGAAAGAAAGTGAATAATCCCTAGAAAGCAGCCTGGTGATGGGTGTGGAGCTGACACATCAATTCTTCCTGATTTAAGCCATCCCTCAGTGCCCGAGTTTAGGTGGCTCTGGGACAGGAAGGTCAACCCAGCTGCTTCTTAGAGGCTGCCCAGAGAAAACGGGCTGGAGATGGAGCACCAGGTAACTCCCAGGATTGGGACAGGCTCAGTCTCCGAATTGTTTAGGTTGGAAAAGCCCCCTAAGATCATCGAGTCCAACCATTCCCCCCAGCACTGCCAAGGCCACCACTGACCCATGGCCACAAGTGCCACATCCACACAGCTTTTAAATCCCTCCAGGGATGGCGACTCCACCACTGCCCTGTGCAGCTGTGCCAGGGCTGGACAACCCTTTCCATGACAAAATTTTTCCCAATATCCAACCTAAACCCTCCCTGGTGCAACTTGAGGCTGTTTCCTCTTGTCCTGTCGCTTGTTACCTGGGAGAAGGGACCAGCAGCCCCCTGGAGACAGGATGTGTGTGCTGTGGGCTCCCTGCTCCAGCTCTGGGGGATCCCATGGAAGCAGACAGGAAATGAGCTGCCTTGCAGGACCAGCCCCAGCTGAGTGTGGTCACTGGAGGAATTAAATCCCACCAGGGTAAGCCTTGTGATAATGATGTATTGGGTGAGTTCCTTAGCTCAGGTGTGCTGTGAGTAGGAGGGGATCACTCAGTCCCAAAGAACAGCTGATAGGACAAAGGGTGATGGTTTTAAACTGCCAGAGGGCAGGGTGAGAAGGGATATTGGGAATGAATCCTTGGCTGTGAGGGTGGGGAGGCCCTGGCACAGGTTGCCCAGAGAAGCTGTGGCTGCCCCTGGATCCCTGGAAGTGTCCAAGGCCAGGTTGGACGGGGCTTGGAGCAACCTGGTTTAGTGGAAGGTGTCCCTGCCCATGGCAGGGGGTGGAATGAGATGAGCTTTAAGGTCCCTTCCACCCCAAAGCACTCTGTGATTCTGTGAATGAGAGGGTGCTGGGGCAGGGCTGAGCCCCTGGTGGGAGGGAGGTCTGTACCTCTCACCCTGCTCTCTGCCCTCCGCCGCGCGCCCACGTCTCCTGATGGGAACGTCAAGCTCCAACATGTGTTGCACACGTGCTGGCTGATACACATCAGGCTGTTCCCCAGCGCTGCCAAGCTCTGCCTTGATTTAATCAGCGCCTCTCCTGCCTGGTCTGCCTCCCCCCTCCTCCCCTCCACAGGCAGATGTGGTCTGTCCAACACGAAGGTGGGTTCGTGACAGCGGAGCACGCGTCCACGGAAAGAACACTTCTACCCTCTTCCCTTTTCTGCAGCCAACACAAAGCAGCCTCACCTCCCTCCCTATCTCCTGCTGGGTTTTAATACTCCGGTTTTATATGAAAATTATAACTCCCCCCCCCCCCCCAAACAATTGCATGCGAGGGTCAGTCTGGAAGGCATAAAGGAGAAATCCTGAGGAGTTTGCCAAGAGACAGAACTGTCCCATCCCAACACCAGGCTTTGCAAACACAGAATATTCAGCTGCTGTCTCAGTCTGAGCCCTCCCTGCAGAGCACACAAGGCTACATCCCAGATCTTTAAGGATTCCTTTTCCAAAGGGATCTCACCTTATCCAAGGCACAGAGATTAACCCAAGGAGCCTTTCAGAGCCCAGAAGTTGGGAAACTATTTGGGAAAATACTGGTGGGAGATAAAATCATGGAATCCCAGAATGATTTCGGTTGGAAGGGACTTCAAAGCTCATCCCTGCCACGGGCAGGGACACCTTCACTATCCCAGGTTGCTCCAAGCCCCATCCAACCCGGCCTTGGACACTTCCAGGGATGGGGAAGCCACAGCTTCTCTGGGCAAACCATGCCA